TGCTACGCAATTACATTTTTGTTCGCCTCGCGAACAAATTCAAAGTCATTTTCCTGGAGATTAGCTGGCAATTTTTCTGCACCAACATCACATAGAGAGAATATGATAGGATTGTAATATGTCAGAGGTCCTTGTTATCAGCATTATAAACTTATATAAAGCAATTTTAATACAAACAATAATATAAACTTATATAAAGCGAGAAAGCAATATTATTTAACAAATTACTATAGGGCATTAGCCGGAGATTAATCTCAGTAATCGAAGCACACGTGGCGGAGCCTAACTCGGGTTGACTATATTTAAGGGTGCCCCTTGATTCTCGCCAAGTTCTAATCGTGGTTGATCACCAAGCTGGACGATGTTGAAGCCCAATCGCGATTCTGATTGGTTTAGATTCTAGTGTTATTTTTAAATGTTCAACGGTATATGTGATTTCAGAGGTCCGTTGGTTCTAAGTTGGATACCGGCTGGCAAGGTTACTTTTTCTTCTGGTCAATAAGATCAAAAGTATGTGGGCAGTCATAAAAAGGGACTTTAGAAAAAAATTTCATCGCCAGTCCGGTACCACAGACGCAATTTTTGATTCGTATTTCGCCGAATGTATGTGGCAATGGAGGTACACAGATTCTATTCATGATAAATTTAGACAGTATTCTAACTGCTATTAGAGAATTTGGTGCACCTAAATCTGAGGATATTCAAGCTTAAAGAAGAAGTGAGTTGTTTTTTTTTTCCTTTTCTTTCTATGCTCACTCCATTCATTTTTGTTTCGATACAAAATGCATTTTCTTGGGTTTATTAATTTTGCTCATATTGGGTTCATTGCAATTTTATAAAGTTTTGGCCGATGTTTTGTTGAAATTTTTCAATGTCTTATTAAAATATCATTATATTTTGGCCGCCATTTCCTGTTGCCACAAGAATGGCGCCAAACATAAGTCGCCAATTTCGCCTAGGGACACCCTCAAGTACATTTTTACCCCTACTAATTCAAATCATTGTTGATCTTATAGGATGCCGGACGCTCCCTATATGGTGCTTCATCTCCCCCCCCCTCAGTAATTTAAATTTAAAACTGAAAACAATTAAAACCTATGAAAAAAATCCTAAAAATGTGGCAATCCAATTAAAACATTTAATATTAATAAGTTGATGCTGAGTAATATTTCAAAAGCAAAACCCATTGCAAGTAATTGCCCAATTAACTACAACACTGTCAACTGACAAAATATTTCAGTTTCAATCAGACAAAAAGCAAATTATATAATAAAAACACATGTGACTGAAATTCGACAAATTAAATTAAGCAATTTAATTTTTTTGTCATATTGAATACTAATAAAAAAACAAATGTAAAATGAAGTAATTATGTTATCAATAAACATTTTTGTCTGAATTGTCATAAGAAAATAAGGTGAAAACAATAAAATTGAAAATTATTTATAATAGATCTCTGAATATTCACACAACCTAGCTATGTACATTTTTCATTGATTTCTCTTTTCACATCATTTTGTGTAAAATGATTTGCACTTTTATGCATTATTTAAGAAATATCTCAAACAAATATGAACTGTTAATTAATATTTCTGGCTGCACGATTTTTTGACAGTAAGTAAAAAACAGTTAAAAGTAAGAAAAAACAATGATAAAATTAAAAATTATTTACAAAACATCCTTATATACAACATTTTTTATCAATCTCTTTTCCATATTATTCGTTTTCATTTAAACGTCTTGACTCTTCAACGTTTCTTCGCCGCGCATTTCGCTGTCGCGTATTGATAGTACTGCGATTATTTTCCCGGTAATTTTGTACTGCTAAATTTCAGCCCTATGTCACTGTTGATATCCCCTAAGATATTCACGGCGATCCATTTTTTACAAAAGATATAAGTATTTTAAAGTAAGCTCTGTTCAATATATTTCACACATTCCAAAATAAAATTCTCAACAAGATTTAACTGGTAAGTTTAGTTGAAACATTTCTGCAGACAGCATTATTAAAAATTATTACCGTTACACACACATGCGTTCTCAATTTTGATTGGCTGTTTTGTGCGTTACTAACCAGAAGTCTTCTGTGATTGGCTATGTGTTATCATTCCACTCTCTTTTTGATTATGACAT